GTAAATATATGAGCCAGCCAAAAAGTTATAGCTTTGTCCATTAGAATAGAATATCCCAGATATAATTCATATTAAACAATAGGCTATGTAAATGAATCATCAATAAAATCTTAAGATTTTCATGCATGAGTGTATGCATGTGTATGATTGCATACACATGAAACAGACATATGGAAGGCAGAAAGCAACGAAAACCAAAAGGCAATAAATAACTGCAATTGTAAGCACATTTTCTGCAAAATTTTTGGCTCCATAATTAATCAGCACCATTATAAAGAACAAGCATTACATTAATGTGGTCTAGTAATTTCTCAGAACAAGGGAGATGAGACATGTCAAGCAAGAGCTGCTTCCAAAAATAAGCTGACTGAATTTGGCCTCAAACACACAAACATCAATTTCAGCATATTTAATCACCTGAAATGGAAAGACTTATCAAATAGCCAACAGTAACTCAGTGATCCAACGACACACATTGTTATGGGACTAGACCAGCGGTTCTCAACCTGTGTGTTGCGGCCCTTTTGGGGGTCACAGGGGTCGCCTAAGGCCATAGGAAAACACTTATTCACTGAAGTTATGAAATAACAACGAAAAAAATTTTATGGTTAGGGATCACCAGGAACTGTATTAAAGGGTTGCAGCATTAGAAAAGTTAAGAACCACTGGATGAGACAAACAAACAAACAAAATGTTGCGTTTGGTCAGAGTTGTCCCCCTTTAATACGAAGCAGACAACTTTCTATTAAACAAAAAGTGTGTGGCGTCTCCACAATAAAGGTCTGTTGCAGTACAGCTAACTTGTGTCTCTGGGAATGTTACATGGCAAGATCCCTGTCTCTTCGATGGTGCAACTGGAAACAATATCTAACTCTCTATCAAGTCTAGTACAATACTTACCAGCACATGAGTGCAAGGTACACCATTACAGTAACTGGTAAAACAATCTAACTCTCTGTCAAGTCTAGTACAATACTTACCAGCACATGAGTGCAAGGTACACCATTACAGTAACTGGTAAAACAATCCAACACTCTATCAAGTCTAGTACAATACTTACCAGCACATGAGTGCAAGGTACACCATTACAGTAACTGGTAAAACAATCTAACTCTCTGTCAAGTCTAGTACAATACTTACCAGCACATGAGTGCAAGGTACACTATTACAGTAACTGGTAAAACAATCTAACTCTCTGTCAAGTCTAGTACAATACTTACCAGCACATGAGTGCAAGGTACACTATTACTGTAACTGGTAAAACAATCTAACTCTCTGTCAAGTCTAGTACAATACTTACCAGCACATGCAAGGTACACCATTACAGTAACTGGTAAAACAATCCAACACTCTATCAAGTCTAGTACAATACTTACCAGCACATGAGTGCAAGGTACACCCTTACAGTAACTGGTAAAACAATCTAACTCTCTATCAAGTCTAGTACAATACTTACCAGCACATGAGTGCAAGGTACACTATTACAGTAACTGGTAAAACAATCTATCTCTCTGTCAAGTCTAGTACAATACTTACCAGCACATGAGTGCAAGGTACACTATTACAGTAACTGGTAAAACAATCTAACTCTCTGTCAAGTCTAGTACAATACTTACCAGCACATGAGTGCAAGGTACACTGTTACAGTAACTGGTAAAGATACTATGTGTGCCCTGAAGGCTTTTTTTTTTCCTTCCAGAAAAAGGTGCCAGTACTCAACCCAAACTGTTTCAAAAAGTGCCAGTACTCTCCACAAACTGTTTCAAAAAGGTGCCGATACTCCCCACAAACTGTTTCAAAAAGGTGCCGATACTCCCCACAAACTGTTTATTACAGCTGTGCTGACAAACATTATGCCTAAAAAAAAGAAAAACAAACTGGTCCTGGCCTTAGGTACTTTTCACACCACCACTAAAAAAAACCCAAACAAACACTTGGGTATGTCTACCATTGCATACACATGAAAGAGACATGGGGAAGGCAGAAACTGTAAAAGCATGCATAATCTGTAACTTCCCAGAAGGACAAACCGTGTATCTGGGTGTCCTGTTAAAGATGTTAAAAATGTTAGTTGCGTATGCTTTACAGGACATTGCAGAACCAACACCAACAGCGGCTGTTGTGGTTTTTTTAGGCAAATTTACATCCAGTAGTTTGCTATTGCTTTCTGGACGGTCGGCTTCTTGACACCACTGTCGAAACCAACACAAGGTGCAAGGCCTGCAGCTGGGATCGAACCTGGCACCCCGGCATTACAAAGCGCGTGCGCAATGCCTTAGCCACAGAAACCGACCCCACCAAAGATACAACTTTTGAAATTTCAGGGAGTGGTCAAACCATCAATTGGAAGGGGGTAAATCATGACTTGACTATTTTTCATCATCATATTGCTAACTAAAGGTCTGTTACCCCAGCAAAAAGCCACTTGTTAAATGTCTATCCATAAGGAGAAACCCCACGTATTTAGTGTCTGGTCAGTTTACACAAAAAGGAAAAATAAAAGTATGTCAATGGCTGTATAATGGCATTGGTGTTAGGTTAAATGTCTATCCATTAGGACAAACCCTATATATTTAGTGTCTGGTCAGTTTACACAAAAAGGAAAAATAAAAGTATGTCAATGGCTGTTTATATTGGAATAGGTGATACGTTCCTTGAGATGATTTATGTTTTGTATTTCTACCTGACACACCATAGCCTGTAAATGCCCCCCCCCCCCCCCCCCGCCCCCCCAAGATAAAAATCAAGTGGGATGAGATCTGTAGATTTGAGAGGACACACAAATCCAAGCATCTGAAAACTGCTGGTCTAACCACAGATGCAGGTTGATGTTACCTATGTACAAAACACCCAACCTCCTGAGAAGTCACACTACAGCACCCAAAACTGTTACACAAAGCACCCACTTCTGTACCTTGTTGTCTGAGGCAAGCAGCGATTTCTTTAAATCCCCCCCACAACTACACTTTATAAAATTAACATCCTGTGACTTAAGAACATAGTATTCAGATGGGAATCAAATGGCAGTATAACCTCAGAAACCCCATTTAACCTTTAACACAGTTATATCAGGGCACATGACTGTTACAAAGTCCAATATGGGTGGACTGGGATTTGGCAAGTAGAGATTCTTACAAGATTCGGTTCATTCCTTTTCTCATCTGTATAAGCAAGTCATGTATAACTGGTAAAAATTCATGTTTCTTTACTGTTCATCTTGAAATAATAAACAACATTTAAGTGTTCTTCCATGCTTCTTTAAAAAGGGATTGTTGTGTATTTTCTTTTCAGGATAGGTGAAAAAGAATTATGTTGTATTTCCTGTGATATAAAGTTAAATTTGATATTTTTAAATATTTACCTTTCATGTTGTGTATAACAGAATTTTATTACTTGTCTCCGATCAAAACTAAACTTATAAAATAAAATTTACACACTGTACAAGTTCCTAATTTATTCTTCTTCTGCAAATTAGGCTATTGTTATGTCGTCAAATTTGTGTGTGAGTATGGGGTGGTGGGGGGTGGGGGTGGAAAAGGGAGGGGCAGCTCTGTGGCTCAGAGGTTAATAAATGGTTTCGAAAGGCAATCTTTGACATTTACAAGGGTTCCATTCCTGCAGTGGGCAGTTTGTAAAGAGACAATTCTTGTGGCTTTTAGACAGTGGCAAGAGAGTTGCAGCATCTAAGAGATTAGAGACTCTGCCTGTCCACGTAATACTCCCATAGTGAGCAGCGGATACATTGCGGCCAACCTTTATTGTGACGGTGGCATGTGTTTTTTTTTCAAAAGAAAATTTAACCCCCCCCCCCCCCAAAAAAAAACGTTTTTTAAACCCCTACCTGCAAAGTTCATGGTGACTGCAGTAACCATTCAACCATAATTCCCCAGGCTCATTGTTATGTTATCACAATTAACGTAACCGCACACTGAGTGTTCTCATGCATGCTCAGTCCTATGATGCAGCAGCTGATACGGAGTACTTCTACTGATTGTTTCCATGAGGAATTAGTTATGTGTCTTATCTCGGCACAGATGTGCTTCACCATTCTTTCCTCCCATGTCACACAATTAAGTTAGTTATTGTTCATTATCCACTAGCCCGGTCAATACAGCTCTGATGACATCTGTTCTGTCCATGCTTCTTTCTGTATGCATTAATGCACTGCTTGCCAGTGGTCCACTAGCCAATCCATACAGTGCTGATGACATCTGTTCTGTCCATGCTTCTTTCTGTATGCATTGGTGTACTGCTTGCCAGTGGTCCACTAGCCCAGTCCATACAGTGCTGATGACCTCTGTCCTGTCCATGCTGGCTCCTGCAGGCACTGATGCACTGCTTGCTAGTGGTTGACTCAGTCTAAAGATCCCCTTGACCTAACCCCCTCTAAAAGTGGTAAACAAGGCATTAAAGAGTTATACTGCCAAAGTCTGCATTTGTGGGTGTCGGGTGTGATTCCAGCTGCAGGCAATTTGGCAGCAGACTGTCTTGTGTTGGTTTGGATAGTGGTATTGGGAGGTGACCGTTCAGGAGGCAATGGCAAACTACTGAATGTAAATTTGCCTAGAAAAACCACAACAGCCAAACAAATTCTTGAGTTGGTTCTGCAAAGTCCTGTAAAGGATATTAACTAACTTATTTCTCTTCAATTTTTACACATGAACAATACATCTGAAAGTATATTTAAAAAAACACATACACATATAATGAGAGAAATTTTTTTGCTGTCAGTTACAATCCTTCAAGCCCTGAACCCTGATCAAGTATAAAAGAACAGTATTTCTTCAAAGAAAACACCCTAATAAAGTACAAAACAACAGCATTTTTTCCAAGAATAAACGAATCAAAAAATAAATGTAAATGCATGCTAACTTTTTAAAGTCAAAATCACAATGATCAAATTCAGCTGAGATTAAAATGACAGTGAGAGAAAAATTACAAAACAACCCAGCGAAGAAATCCTGATCAACAATCCTAGGAAACAAAAACAATAAAAAGCCTCACTGCAGCATGAGAGATCTGAGGTTGTCATGTAGTATTGTGTCTTTGACATCCTGGAAGACGTGTTTGATGTTTTCTGTATCTACGGCAGTGGTGAAATGGTGGAACAGGGGCTTGCTGCGCTCCCTTCGGCGGGAGTCAAACATGTTGCGCAGAAACTTCTTGACGTCCTCCAGGTTGTGCGGGTCACCTTGGAACTCTGGGAAGTAGTCGACAATTTTGACGTGCTTGATCTTGTCGGCCAGCAGGTCCATCTTGTTGAGAAAGAGGATGATGGAAACCGATGTGAAGCTGCGGTTGTTGATGATGGTTTCGAAAATGTTGCAGGATTCCACCAGACGGTTGGTTTTCCTGTCCTCCATTAGTACCTGTGGTGAGATAATAAATCAATCAATTGTGCTGTCTTCGCAATGAAGGTTTGCTACTGTGTAGGCACTGCTGTCTTTGGGAGTATTATGTGATGAAGACTCAATCTCTTCCATGGAGTGAATCTCATACTAAGGGACTACAGCAATTATGGGGTGACCTGTTTGCGATAAAGTGGCAGTTCCAACTGATAGAAATAGAGAGAGAGAGAGAGAGAGAGAGAGAGAGAGAGAGAGAGAGAGAGAGAGAGAGAGAGAGAGAGAGAGAGAGAGAGAGACAGTCAGACAGTCAGACAGTCAGACAGACAGACAGACAGACAGACAGACAGACAGACAGACAGACAGACAGACAGACAGACAGACAGACAGACAGACAGACAGACAGATAGACAGACAGATAGACAGACAGATAATTTAGCATGCACATGCACATGTACGCCCACACCCCCCACCCCACCCCATATGTACAGACACATACCCACCCCATTACACACACACACACACATGCGCACGCACACACACATACACACAGATGGGGGAGAGAGAGCAAGGAGCCTCAGATGTCAGATGTTAGACTAATTTTTTTTTTGGAATAATCAGCACTTGATTGGTGATTGAAATAATCAGCACTTGATTGGTGATTGAAATAATCAGCACTTGCTTGGTAATTGGACTAATCAGCACTTGCTTTGAAATTCTGGTTTGAATTTACTTCCCAAAATATTTTTTGTATCTATTTTAGACTGGATGGGCCTGGGAGCCAAGGTCATTTTATTAGAAACTAGCCTGAATGTGGATATGAACACATTCCTTCCAGCTGGCAGACAAGTGTCTAGCCACTGTGCTACAAGTATCTAGCCACTGTGCTACAAGCATCTAGCAACTGTGCTACAAGCATCTAGCCACTGTGCTACAAGTATCTAGCCACTGTGCTACAAGTATCTAGACACTGCTACAAGTATCTAGCCACTGTGCTACAAGTATCTAGCCACTGTGCTACAAGTATCTAGACACTGTGCTACAAGTATCTAGACACTGTGCTACAAGTATCTAGCCACTGTGCTACAAGTATCTAGACACTGTGCTACAAGTATCTAGCCACTGTGATACAAGTATCTAGCCACTGTGCTCCAGGTATCTAGCCACTGTGCTTCAAGCATCTAGCCACTGTGCTCCAGGCATCTAGCCACTGCGCTACACATATCTAGCCACTGTGCTCCACATATCTAGCCACTGTGCTCCAGGTATCTAGCCACTGTGCTCCAGGTATCTAGCCACTGTGCTCCAGGTATCTAGCCACTGTGCTACACGTATCTAGCCACTGTGCTACACGTATCTAGCCACTGTGCTACAAGTATCTAGCCACTGTGCTACAAGTATCTAGCCACTGTACTCCAAGTATCTAGCCACTGTGCTCCAGGTATCTAGCCACTGGGCTTCAGGTATCTAGCCACTGGGCTTCAGGTATCTAGCCACTGGGCTTCAGGTATCTAGCCACTGTGCTTCAGGTATCTAGCCACTGTGCTCCAGGTATCTAGCCACTGTGCTATAAGTATCTAGCCAATGTGCTACAAGTGCAACAAGTATCTAGCCAATGTGCTACAAGTATCTAGCCAATGTGCTACAAGTATCTAGTCATTGTGCTATGAGTATCTAGCCACTGTGCTCCAGATATCTAGCCAATGTGCTACAAGAATCTAGTCATTGTGCTACGAGTATCTAGCCACTGTGCTCCAGGTATATAGCCACTGTGCTACAAGTATCTAGCAACTGTGCTACAAGTATCTAGCCACTGTGCTACACGTATCTAGCCACTGTGCTACAAGTATCTAGCCACTGTGCTACAAGTATCTAGCCACTGTACTCCAAGTATCTAGCCACTGTACTCCAAGTATCTAGCCACTGTGCTCCAGGTATCTAGCCACTGTGCTCCAGGTATCTAGCCACTGTGCTCCAGGTATCTAGCCACTGTGCTTCAGGTATCTAGCCACTGTGCTCCAGGTATCTAGCCACTGTGCTCAAGGTATCTAGCCACTGTGCTCCAGGTATCTAGCCACTGTGCTCCAGGTATCTAGCCACTGTGCTCCAGGTATCTAGCCACTGTGCTACAAGTATCTAGCCAATGTGCTACAAGTATCTAGGAAATGTGCTACAAGTATCTAGTCATTGTGCTACAAGTATCTAGTCATTGTGCTACGAGTATCTAGCCACTGTGCTCCAGGTATCTAGCCACTGTGCTACAAGTATCTAGCCAATGTGCTACAAGTATCTAGTCATTGTGCTACAAGTATCTAGTCATTGTGCTACGAGTATCTAGCCACTGTGCTACAAGTATCTAGCCACTGTGCTACAAGTATCTAGTCATTGTGCTACGAGTATCTAGCCACTGTGCTACAAGTATATAGCCACTGTGCTACAAGTGTCTAGCCACTGTGCTACAAGTATCTAGTCATTGTGCTACGAGTATCTAGCCACTGTGCTACGAGTATCTAGCCAATGTGCTACAAGTATCTAGCCAATGTGCTACAAGTATCTAGTCATTGTGCTACGAGTATCTAGCCACTGTGCTCCAGGTATCTAGCCACTGTGCTACGAGTATCTAGCCACTGTGCTACGAGTATCTAGCCACTGTGCTACAAGCATCTAGCCACTGTGCTACAAGTATCTAGCCACTGTGCTACAAGTATCTAGCCACTGTGCAACCAGGCCTGGCACTGGAAGCAAAGATCACTGGCATAGAATAGGGGAAGGGGGGTGCAGACCACCCTGGATGTCATCACTGGGGTAGGAAGTGAAAAAAATGGCATAAATATGTGTGAGTAAAATAAAAAAAATTCTATACGTGTGTGTGTGCGTGTGTTGGGGGGGGGGGGAATGACAGTGAATTGTCCACATAGGGTACCATGTGAATTTGCTATGTCATTGGCAAAGAGCGGGAATGAATATGTTTTGTATGAGATGTTTTCTTGTCTTGATTGGAATTGTCTTTGCTGTAAGAGGGGTAGCTATGTAGTTTGCTTACTTTAAAAAAAAAATCTAATCTGTCATCTCTGAAACAAAAAAAAAAAAAACATGGAAAAACGACTAAAACAGTTACCAAGAAACTACAAATATTCATTAATGGATGTCTGAAAAAAATAGAAAAGATAACACTATATTGAAGATCTAGTAATGTGGAGCTAAGAAAGACAACTAAATAATGTAAAGCAAATCAAGATGTTATGTATAAGTTATGTATATAAAATCAACATGTTCAATAATACAACTTGAAAGTACTTTCTTTGGAATCCATAGAGCAAAAGAAGAAAAGGGACACCTAAAATACACAAGGAGAATAAAAGGTAGATATTGGTAAGCCATGGATGAAACTGCAGGAGATGGCAAAAGATAGATATTAAGATATTGGTAAGCCATGGATGAAACTGCAGGAGATGGCAAAAAGTAGGTGGACTTGGTTGCTGAGGGTCTATACTCCGATGCGTGGTAAAGGGAAGGACACAAAAATAAAATACAAAAAACATTCTCAAACTAAGAAGCATAAAACACTGTATCAAAATATCAACCTTTACAGCAACTTACCTGGTCAAATTCACTGACTGAAGCCAAAAACAAAATTGAAGTGATCCCTTCGAAGCACTGGAACCACTTCTGTCGTTGTGACCTTTGGCCTCCCACATCGATGAACATAAAAGGAACACCTTTAATAATGATCTGATGCTCAATAATTCCCTTTGTGGCTTTCCTGGCAAACAGGATGTCTTGCCTGGATGGCACATAGTTCTGAAATTGAATAAAGTCCGTGCAGATTATTAGGTATTGAAATATTCGGTTCTGAACTGGTCTGGGTAAAGATATCAGGACACGGTTTCAAGAAAGGAGGGCATCCACATCCTCTGGGGTTGTCCAATTTTCTTTACTCTCTCTCTTATCTTTTTACCTAACCAGTTTACATACAGCTTCACATGCCACACGGTTAACAGTCACGCCCGACTGACTCAATTCAGTGAGTGAAACTACAAAGGCCGACAATTAAGTAATGAGACTAATTTAATAAAAAATTTAAATAATCAACAGTTGAAGATATAACCAGTATTTTATTCAATTTAAACCCCTTGTGCATTGTTACAGCAAGTGGCATGATCTAACAAACAATGGAACGACCTCTGTAGTTTTTTCTGTTGCTATGGCCCTTAAAGTCGATGTTACAGCCCCTTGGATGTCATCTATATCGTCAAAGAAGAGTCCTTTCAGTGTTAACTTTAATTTTGAGAATAGAAAATAATTACAGGGAGACAAATCTGGGAAATAGGGTGGATGGTTGAGAACACACACTTGCTTTATGGCGAAAAATTCCTTTTTTTGATGATGTCTCGTGGGTACTCAACCCGCTGATGTTTTTGGTCATCAGACAACGAATGCGGTACAAACCTGCAAGCAACATTTTTCTTGCCAAAATCTTGCAATAAAATGTTACAAAGGGTCTCTCTATTAACACAAGATTCATCTGCCGCATCCTGACAGTAAAACAACGATCTTCTTGTATTCGTTCTGTGACTTGTGCAATGAGTTCCTCGTTACGAACCGAAATTAAACGTCCAGGGCTAGTTGCATTAGTAATCATTTCCAAACCACCCTTGAATCGTGAATACCACTTAAAAATCTGTGCACGAGATAAACAATTATACCAATAAACTTGTCGCATCAATTCAACCGTCTCAGTGGCGCCTTTTCTGAATTTTAAACAGAATTTAATGTAGGCTTTTTGCTCTCTGCTGATTACGTAACAATGCACCTCTGACTAGGTCAACAACATGGCGGTTTGTTTGTTGTCTGCTTATCGTGCGGCGATGAAAAGTTGCCAGATATTAGGTAAAGGTTGCCTCTTTAGATTCCATGCTTTGCTGCTTGGCCATAATAAAATCAGTCGCGTTACTTAATTGTCAGACCTTGTATTATCAGTTGATCGTCTTTCTTCTTCTTTTTTATGTCCCCTTACTGATACCAGGTTGTAGCCTAGTGTCGTGGTTTACTGTATTTGTATTGCACTTCTCGGGTGGCTTGGGTGATGGATTTGTTCACCTTTTCGCAGATTTCAGCTACGCCAATTATCAGTATCTCTCTTGGACTCCCCACGCCGACTTCCTCCCAAAAGTTCTGCTATAGAAAGTCGCATATGCAGCTTGGTTTGCCTGAATTCCCCCTAGATGGTCGAACCATTTCCTTCTTCGCCTGTCAATATAATTCAGACACAGTACTGTTGTATCTATCTCTCTAATGCTGGTATTCGTAACCCTGTCTTTTCTTTTGTTGTTAATGACTTTATGTACACAGCATATTTCACAGTTAGTTACATTCTGTGCTTAGCGCCCTATTCACTGTCCATTTTTCGCACTGATAGGATAAGGTAGGGATGAAGATGCTGTTAATCATTTGTTATTTTGCTAGAAGGGAGATATTTGGGTGGGAGATATTTGGGTATCTAATAAGTGAGACTAACTTGCAGATGACAGCACTTGCCTTCTGTCCCCTTCTTACTATCTGTCGAGTCTGTCCTTCTGTAAATATGCTTCCTAGATACTTAAATTCGTTTAAAAAAATATTTTTTGTATTGTATTATCATTAACATGAATGTTCATGTTATTATGTTTCCTGCCTTTTCTTACTCCGCCAGTTTTCGCAGTGTTTATATTCATATCATACTTGGGGAAGGTTCGATGTAAGAAGTCAATATGGTGTTGAAATTCTGCCTCTCGGGTCAGGGCAGGAAGAGATAGATGGAAACGGCCCTTCAGTTCGCTGTACATAAAGTAACTGTCAGTATCTCTGATATTTCTGCGGTCCATGTTCTGCTTGGTCGACCTCTGGATTTGTTATTGTATCTGTATAACATGCTCTCTGTGGTGCCCTGTCTGATGCCAATCTTGTTACATGGCCAAACAATTTGATTTGTTGTCTACCTATAAAGTTCAATATCGGTTCGACTCGCCTCCTGATATCATCGTTCCTAATATACCAGCATACTCCGTCCCCACCTCCATTCTCATGCTAGACGGGGTGGTATCGTATGCTAGGCTGTCCAGCACAAAAGATTTTCCATTGGATTTCGCTACGAACCCTCAGGCACTTCTCTTTCCTCTCAACACCGAACCACCTGTAAAGATAATCAGATTATCTGAGCGAGAACTGTCGTGAATCAACTGTTGGACTTCCACCTCCATAGCACCCGCTGGTCACTCTCTGCACTCTCGGCCTAATGTGATCATAACCATACACAGATCAGACTTTTCCTCTCCTCGCTCAATGTTCTCCAGCAGTCTTATTGTGTCTTTTGCCCTAGCCATTCACGACTTTTTTTTTTTTTTTTAGCCTCTGACCTTTAGATGCAGCCAAAGCTTCATACTGAGGGTGTTCTTTCTCTGCAGCTACTCTGTGGTATGACTTTGCCTGCAGCCCCTTTCGCCAACCTGCAATAGTCGGCAATGCGAGGATTTATCGCATGCACACCATCCGGTTGTCTCTTGTACATCCCAGGATCAGCCAAATAGCTTCTGCGCTCCACTTTCTCTAGCTGACTCTTCGAGACAGTGAGTAACCCCAGTCCATAATCAATCTCTGATTCCCTTCCTATATACGAGAACATAATCTGCAAATGTCAATATTCTGCCAGCTCCAAATCTGCAATTTTGCTCGTAAAAACATTGAACAGTACAAATGAAATTGAAGATCCCTGTGAAGGTCCTAGAGCTATAATATATGGTTCAGAGATCCATGAACCCTGACGGAGAGCTACCCGGCGAGTATACAAAACAGCCTCTATCATTTCACAAACCAAGCACAGAAACTCCTTTCTCCGTAAGCGTTTTCATCAAGAAACTGTATCAGACTCTATTGTAAGCATCTTCTAAAACACGTGCTGCTGCCACCGTTTCCAGTCTGCTCTGGAAACCCTCGAAGAAGCAGAAAGATGGGGGGGGGGGGGGTTTATAGGAGGAGGAGAAGAAATAGACGAAGAAGGAGGCAGTGAAAGCGAAGAAGAAGAAGAACAAGAACAGGACGAAGAAGAAGAAGTAGAAGAAAAAGAAGAAGAAGAAGAAGAAGAAGAAAAAGAAGAAGAAGAAGAAGAAGAAGAAGAAGAAGAAGAAGAAGAAGAAGAAGAAGAAGAAGAAGAAGAAGAAGAAGAAGAAGAAGAAGAAGAAGAAGAAGATGCTGATGAAAAAGAAGAAGAAGAAATAGAACGTGAGGGAAAAAAAAAAAAAAAGAAGAAGCAACTGAGTAAACGTGAGCACATGAAAGATAACGCACCTCTCCCTCATAACCGCTTTTAAAAACAGAAACACCTGACAGAGAGATGAAGGTAAGTGGATTCATTTATACCACCCTCCTCCTCTAAAAACACAGCAAGTCGCTAATCCCTCGTCCCCATCGCCTCTCAGCAAAAACGTGCATCACTCCGCCACGACAACACCCCCCCCCCCCCCCCAACGAATAAAGGCATGCCTTTTAAAACCTGTATAAAATACACAGAACTGTACTGTGTCTGTTTGAGAAGTATGGCTCCAGCATAGCTGAAATGCCTTCTGCTTGGTTTCTCATAGACACTGCATTAATGAAACCTTAACTGATAACATAATAGAATTCTTCTCGTCATAGCTCTCTGACCCTCTAGCTCGGAGGTTCTCAACCCGTGGGTCGAACGACCATTTCATAGTGGTCGCCACAGACCATAGGAAAGCACATATTCACCAAAGTTATGAAACCATCATTATGTAGCAGGTCTTTTGCAGAACGTCGCTCTCATCACGGTCTGCATGAAAAAAAAATCGCCAGCAAGGAGTCACTTATATCCTGTGCCCATCTTTGTGTTGGTCGGCCCCTGCCCCTCCTTCCTGGTACCATGCCTTCTGCTATAATGTTTTCCAATCCGTCGTGGCGCTTGATATGACTAAAATATTTCAGCTTCAGAGACAGAATGCTGTTTATAAGCCAATCTTCCTTGATGTTCAAATATTTCAAGATGTCAGTCAGTATTTCTTCTCTTTTTCGTTCAAAGTTAAGAAGTAGCAAGAAAGATAATTGTAAGATTGGGGGTAGCCACAACATGAAGAACTATATTAAAAGGGTGGCCGCATTAGGAAGGTTGGGAACTACTGCTCTAGCTTGTGTTTTGCATACAACCCGGAAAAGATTCGTCTCTTGTCTTGGTAAACTCTGGTAGCCATCTTGTCTCTGTAGATATAGGGGTGTTTATTCTTGCAAAACTACGTATAGATGGATCTGCTTGATCTTGATCTCTATGGCTTGTTGTCTAGGGAAATAGTCGCTGCCTTATGCGTCACCTTTTCCCGTTATAGCGATTAAAATAAGTGCAAGTTTGTGCGGAGGAAAGTTTAGATGGCCAGATCAAATCGCGATAAATGAGTTAGGGGAGACAAGTAAAGCCACAATCAATCGTGTCTGTGTTTAGTCACACGGTTAGATAGACAGATTTATATATATATATATATATATATATATATATATATATATATATATATATATATATATATATATATATATATATATATATAGACACAGATAAAGATACACATGGGCGACTAGGTGGATGGGTAAACTGTGTGACAGACAAAGTTTGGGTGAGGAAGTGGATGGGCAGATTGACAGACTGACGAACGGACAGACATACAGGCAGGCGGGTGGATGGGTGGACGAACACACATACAATCATGCAGGTGGATGGATGGTGGATAGACAGACAGGCGGCTAGACAGACAGACAACAAC